ATCGTCAGCTTGGACACGGCGAAGGCGAGGTCCAGGTCCGCCGCGTGCACCAGGCCCTCGTTCTCGACGTGCGCGAACGCCTGCACGAAGCGGTCGTGGTCCATGTAGCGCCCCTCGAAGCAGAAGCGCTTGAAGATGTTCTTCAGCTCGCGCATGTGGGGCCGCAGGCAGGCGCAGGTCTCCTTGTTGTAGAGCCGCTCGCGCCGGAAGTCGTCCGGCTCCGCGACCTTGGCGCAGAAGCCGTCTCTTCCGAACGCCGGCGTTACGACGTCGTCGAGGAACTTGGCGACGGCGCCCTCGACGGAGTCGCAGATCTCGCTGTCCCAATACAGCAACACGGCCAGCCGGATGCAGGCCGGGATCATCTCGTGGCGCTCGAGGTACGGCGTCGTCACGCCGCCCGTGTTGAAGTTCGCCGCCACGAAAACTCGATCCAACTCCGCGGGCGACAGGAGCGGCGCGCCGTCCTTCGTCGCGAGGTCGAAGACGCGCGCGTCCTTCCAGATCGTCGCGAAGCCGCTCTGGAAGAGGCGCATGGGGCCCATGGCGCCCGCGTGGTCGTACGTCCGCTTCGCCGAATAGACGCGGAACGCGGCGCGGAGCGCGCGGAAGCCCGGCCGCAGCGCCTCCCTCGCCGCCTCGAGGTTCGCGCCCTGCTTGCGGAAGCACCAGATGCGCATGATGTTCACCTTGTTCACCTCCCAGTCCGCGTTGAAGCATCGATTTAATCTTTTGTCGGAGTCGTAGTAGCCGCCGTCCTCCTGGAGCCGCGGGCTCCACAGGCTCGAGCTCAGGGTCCACTTCATGTTCGACGTGTCGTCCTTGTCCGCCCTCGGCTGCACGGGCCAGTCGAGCTCGAGCACGTTCAGGTCGCCGAAGAGGCGCCGCCTCTGGCCCGGCCGCGGCCGCCGGCCTAAAGGATCGAGCACCTCCGCGGTCGGCGCGCACGCGGCCACGAGCGCCGCGAGCTGGCCGTGGCGCGGGTCCGGCTCCTTGGCCGCGTCGAGGGCCGCGCGCACGTTGCCGACGGTCTCGCCCCTGGCGAAGGCCGACAGCGACGCCGCGCGCGCGTCGCCGACGGCGTCGATCTCCGCCTTTTCCGCGGCGCTCTCCGCCGCGGCCCAGGCCGCGGCGTTCGACGCGACGGGCGGCGGCGCCGGGGCGTCCGCGGGCTCGCGGTCGCGGGGCGGCGGGGGCGCGCCCTCGGGGACGGCGCCGTCGTCCTCGGCGACCGCGGCCATGCCGAGCCCCGGGAACCGCGCGTCGTCGATGGCCGGCAGGCTCAGCTCGGAGACGCCGTCCTCGTTGACGTAGGTCGACGCCGGCGGCCGCCAGTAGACCGTCCTCTGGGGGTCGCTCTCGAGGCGCAGCGTGAAGAAGAAGCGGAGCGGCGCGCCGGGGGGAAGCATGCGCGTGAGGCTCCACTTGATGATGCCCGACGCCATGCGCCGCTGGCGCCGCTTCTTCGCCTCGTGGCTCTCGCCGGCGTAGGCCTTGCCCCGGTTCTCGGAAGCGAGCTCGTCCGGGTCCCAGTCGTCGACGTCGAGGTGCACCTGCACCTGGGCAGGAAAAGAGTGCGAAATTCCCAAATTTGGAGGCTCATATCTCGGTCGTTTTCCACTCGTTTCGGCTAATTTTTGGACGAGCGATCATCTCTCGGAGCGCTCTCGACGCGTGGATGCTGTTTCCGAAACGCGCGCGCGCGGAACACTCACGTTGAAGCGACCTTGAATCACCCTTTTCCTGCCCTGACCTGCACGTGCGACACGGACAGCGGCGTCGACGCCTTGAACGTGTGGGGCTGCCAGCCGTCGCAGAGCCAGCAGACGTTGCGGTTCCGCGTCTTCGTGGACACGCCCTGCTGGGCGAACGTGAAGAAGGAGTCGTAGCCGTCCTCCATGGTCTCGTGGCGGAGGTCCGCGCGGCCGCAGCGCGCGCGCGCGTCGTCGCGGCCCTTGGCCGCGAGCTCCCGGCGGCGCCCCTCGGCGAGGGCGCGCTTCGCGCGCCGCTTCGCCGCGGCCGACGTCTTCGGCTTCTTCTTCTTCTTCGCGGCCGCGTCGCCGGCCGGGGGCTTCGCGTTCGCGCCCAGTAGATTCTTCACGTTGATCGCGCCGCGCGCGTCGGCCTTGACGAGCTTGGGCTTCGCCGGCGGGGCCGCCGGCGCGTGTCCGGCGTCGATTATCGTGAGGTCCGGCGGCGCCCAGCAGCGGCGGTGGCCCGCGACGTCGCCGCCGGCGGCCGTCCAGTGGAGGTAGCCCCGCGGGTCGACGACCGCGTGGTTCCCCTCGAGGTGGAGCCCCAGGAGCGCGTCGTTGGCCCGCAGCGCCAGGGACAGGACCTCGACGTCGCGCCGCGTCAGCCGGTTCGACGCGACGGACACGTGCGCGAGCACCGCGTTCTCGCGGAACGCGGCCGCGAGGAGGTCGACGGCCGGGCCGGGCCCGCCGACGCAGTTCTGGCCGAGCTCGAGGGCCACGAGCGTGTGGGGCTTCGACGGGGGCCGCTCGAAGGCCAGGGGCCGCAGCACGTGGGCCGCGGCCGGCGACGTCACCGCGTTGCCGTCGAGGAACAGGTACGCGAGCGGCGCGACGTCGACCCGGAGCAGCGCGCCGACGGCCCGGCAGCCCCGCTCGCCGATGCCGTTGCGGCCCAGGTCCAGGCGCGTCAGGGAGCTCGCCCCCTCGAAGCCCAGGAGCATGTCGCAGACCTTGACGCAGCCGTCGTCCCTCAGGTCGCAGCCGCGGAGCCGGAGGCTCGCGAGGCGGCGTTGAGCCCGGAGGTCCTCGGCGAGCGCGGGCGCGAGGGCCCGCGCCCCGCGGTTCCGCGACAGGTCCAGATCCACGACGCCCGCCGGGAGCGCGCGCGCGACGAGCGCGACGCCCGCGGGCGAGAGCCGGTTGTTCGACAGGTCCACGGCCGTGAGCGACGACCGCCGCGGGAGCGCGCCCGCGAGCAGGGGCGCGTAGTCGTCGCCCAGGCCCTGGTGGCTCAGGTCCAGGACGGCGTCGTCGCCCGCGCAGGACGCGAGCACGGCCGGCCGCGGCGACAGGGACCGGTGCGACATCGCGTCCTCGACGTCGCGCTTGAACCGGCCCGTCGGCTTCGGTTTCGGCGCGGCTTTCGCGGCGGCGTTCGCGGCCGCGGCCGCGGCGGAGCTCCGGCGCGCCGAGCCCCGCGCGTACTCGACCATGGACGCCTGGCGCTCGAGGGTCGGCCGCCGCGGCGCGGCGGGGTCGACGTCTCTGGGCCGCGGCGCGACGAGCTCGTCCGGCGCGGGCGCCGGCGCGCCGGCCGCGTCGTCGTCCGAGCTGCTGTCGAGGGGCGCGAGCGTCAGCGCGGGCGCCGCCGGGAAGACGTGGGGTTTCGCCGCGGGCGTCTTGACCGTCGCGACGCCCGGCGTGGGTCGTTCCAGCGGCGCCGTCGCGGGCCGCAACAGCGACGGCGCGAAGTGCGTGGGGGCTTCTAAATCGCCCTTCTTTTCGACGGCGCTCGCGATGACCGCCTTCCACGTGCGCCGCCCGGAGGACCGCTTCGGCGCCGCCCCGCGCGAGCTCCGCACGAGCAGGCTCGTCCACTCCGCGGCCGATTTTTTGCACGCGGCTTCGACGGACCGGGGGAAGCCGACGTCGAGGACCGCGCGCGAGCCGCCGGGCGCCGCGTCCGCCGCGGCGAGCTCCGGCCGCGCGACGCGGAAGACCTCGGCGAGGTCGCCGCCGAGCTTCAGCGCCGAGATGAGCGCCGGCGCGTCGCTCTCCAGCGACAGCAGCGTCGACGCGCGCTTGCCGCCGCGGTGCCGCCGGCTCTTCGACGACGGCGGCCGCGGCCGCATGGTCATCGTCGGCGCCGTGCCGGGCCGCGACGACGACATGCTGCGATTATGGGCCGATCATTGCTGGTGTGCGGGTTTGGGAGGATGGGCTGCCCATCGTGCCGGAAGCAACCGCTGCTAGGCTAGGAGAGGTTAACAGCTAGAGGGCCTCCCCCTGTTAGCTTCTGAAGCCTGGTGCCGCACCGTGCTTGCACAGCCCGGCCGCCGGTGGCGGTCGCGGCTAGGCTTGGAGTCCCAGTGCCGCGAGGCCTGGTGCCGCAAACCCCCCGGGTAGGCCCTCTAGCTGTTAACCTCTCCTAGCCTAGCACAGGCAGCCCGTTGCGTGATGGCCGACGACGCCGTCGACGCCGTCCTCCGCGCCGCGCCGACGCGCAGCCTCTACGATGTGCTGGGCGTGCCGGAGGCCGCGACGCACGACGACCTGCGCAAGGCCTACCGGCGCTTGGCCCTCAAGACCCACCCGGACAAGTGCCGCTCGCCGCGCGCGGCCGAGGCCTTCCTCGTCGTGAGCTCCGCCTACGAGGTCCTCGCCGACGCCGCGGCGCGGCGCGGCTACGACGCGGAGCTCCGGCGCCGCGCCCCCCCGGCGCCCGAGCGGACGGCGGGGACGCCCGACCGGAAGACGCGCGAGTCCGAGGTGTCGCGGCTGCGGAGGACCGTGTCCGCGCGGCGCGCCGCGGCCGCGGCCGCGCGGCGCGCCGAGGAGGCCGCGGCCGCGGAGCGGGACCGCGCGGCC